CTTCCTGCAATAAAGGACGCGCACCTCCATTCTTTCCTATCCTAAGCTAATCTTTCCAAGCATTTCCTTAAAAGTAGAACAACCCACATCCTTAACTATTTGTGAACAGAAATCTAATCTAGATCTGCTTCTACTACTCTTAACTCCTGTTTCTGCTCCTAATATGTCTCTGACTAGACCTTCATGCCTGAGAAGGTGTCTTACCAATCTATCTCGCCTATTTTTTATTGACTTCCATAGAGTCCTTTGTCCTTCTATTCTTTCTAATACCTTTTCATTTCTAACCTTCTCTATCCACGGTATCCTCATCATTCGCCTGTAACACTACATTTCGAACGCTTCTAACCTTTTCTTTTCCGCCGCATCAACCGTCCATGTTTCGCACCCATACAGCACCGCGCTCCAAACATACACCTTTAACAACCTTTTTCGAATTTCTAAATTAACCGTTCGCAAGCATAGAAGTGACTTCTTTTTTTTAAAGGCGACTCGACCCTGCGCTATCCTCTGCTTTATATCCCTACTACTCCTTTCATCCCAACTTATCTGACTTCCTAGGTATCTAAAATCAGCCACTTCTTCTAATTTTTCGTCTCCTATCTTTATATTCGCTCTTTCCCTACTTTTTCTTCCCTTGCATTCCAGTATTTTTGTTTTACTTTTATTTATTTTCATACAGTACTGTTTTGTCAGTAGCGCATCCATTTTATTTAAAGCTATCTGTAACTCGCCTGCAAATCTAAGCATACTAATATTTTGTCCCTGTATTTCTATCCCTACAGTTGTACTGTCTTTAATGATGTTAATCGCGTCTTCGATGTATAGATTAAAAAGAAGCGGTGACAGTGTGCATCCCTGTCCAACTCCCTAATATTTAGTTCTCTACGTTGCAGCCCCAGCTCTATAACTCTGTAACTCATCCCTACATTTTTAAGTATATTGAACATCTTGTCTTTAACATCTTATTTTAGTTGATATTACAAATTTAATTGTAATAATTAAGAAATAATTTTGAAAGAAACATGACAAAATTGAGATTTTTACGTTGTAATAAAAATTTTGTTTTCTCCAAATATGACAATCGCCCTGGGCCCCATGTACCTCGGAGGTCGTCGCCGATTACATATTCGTGTTCAGCGACACTTAAAATCCCTAAATAATAAAATCGTACTTATTTCTATCATTATTGACCGAGTCTTTTTTATAGCAACTTTGCACTGCAGTTATGACTGCATCTTTCTTATGCTACTTAGAGCGTGCTAAAGAGATTTAGTATTACTGCTCTTAGATTTTAATTCAGAAGTTTCTTTACCTTGTTACTCAACTGTAATTGAAGTGTACCTAACAGTTACTTTATTCAGACTTCAAGACAAAGTGTGTAACAATGTAAAGAACTTTCAGAGAATTAACACCGTATTTTAATGTAAACTTTTCATCAGCTTTTCTCTTTAAGAGTATCAGTGAAGATAAAAAGCACTTATACAGACAAACAGACGGACATATCGAAAGTCTAAGGGGTTTTACCGGATACAGAATTCTATAAGTGGAAATTTCTTACCAAAAAAGGCTTACGGAAAACCTCTTGAAACATTTCATTAGGAAGCGACGAAGTATTAATACATAACCAAAATTTTGCTAATTTTAGAGCTCTCTTATGAAAATTGTAGTTTCCTTCCTTTCCAAAATAATAAGAAATAAGATATTAGATGTTAGATGTTTTTTAAAAATTCAAGATAAAACACTACGACTAAATTAATTTCCAGATCAAAAAACTGTAAGTATTTATAACTAGTTTTTCAATCTGATAGATAAATGTATTTCTGATCCAAAACACAAGCTCTTGAAATAGGTGTAAGCAGAAATTTACCCCTTTTTTACGAAAACGTATGAAAATTGACAGTATACGACAAAATGACAAAACTTAACAAGATTTTTAATGTATTTATAAAATTTCAATTTTTATAAAATATGTATAACAATTACATTGTTTTCAAGATCAAGAAACGGACAAATCTAAGTTATAACTGTTTTTGACTGACTACAAAATCCTAAAAAAGTGCATTCCTCACTAGAAAAACTTCCGACAAACGTTTTAATGAATGCTCCCCCATTCGCGTATTATGTTAGCAGAATTTGCTGACTTATGATTCCCCCATTCTAAAAAAACATAAGAAAATTGTAGACTTCTCCCCGATAATACAAAAGAGGTTATTCAACGATTTTATATAAATCCAAGATTCAAGCAACGATTAAATAATTTTCAAGATCAGAAACGGACAGATCACAACTATAACAGTTTTTAAATTGCCACAGAATCCTATAAATATGCATTTCTAATAAGAAAAGCTTACGACAAACACCATAATGGGGAAGGTTCGAGTATTATGTCAATAGAATTTACTGACTGGATTTCCCCCATTACAAAAAAACACACGAAAATAGGGGAATCTAAAAAAGAAACATGAAAATTGAGAACTTCTCCTTGATATTACATAAAAACTTCTTTAATGTTTTTATATAAATTCAAGATACAAATATACAACAAACTAAATGATTTCCAAGATTAAATCGAACAGATCGAAACTATAATGGTTTTTGAGGGCTCACAGAATCCTATAAATGTGTAATTCTGATCAGAAGAGTTTACGATAAAAACCCTTGAAACATCTAATTAGAGAGCTTTCAAACCTTCAGACCTTTCCTCATTCTATGAATGCGTATGAAATTGGTGGACTCCTTGCTAGTATATAAGAACCTTTTTAATCTTGTTATTAAAATTCAGAATGAAAGTTGACGATTGAATTTTTTTCGAAATAATAGAATTCAACGCTATTTGTCTATTGAATAACTGAGAGGCCATAAATCATAGAGTGTACAAAACTCGCACGACAATAGGAATTTATGGGAAGTTTCCGAAAGTAATCAGAAATATTCCAAAACCGTATAAGTGACCAACAAACTAGCATCCAAGAGAGCTGAGATAGTGCACGAATAAAGAGATAAGACAGTGAGGAAAATGACTTGAAATTATTAATTATTTTATAGTTCTTATTTCAGGAACTATTTATGATCTGCTTCGGGCGTCTTCTGTCAACAAGAATTAGAACATTCACCAACCCTTACGTTTGCTTACGATAAAAATATTGTAAAAACTTTTCACTTTAAAGTTGTTAATGTAACTGTGTTCGCATAATTTTCATTGAATTCGCATTTACTCTGAGCTACAGTATCTTAAATCGTTCAAATATTTTTACAGTTATATCGTTTTATAACGGCACTTTATGTTTTTACTTAGGAAAAAATGTCGAATTTTAAACGAGACGTTGAGTAATCTAAACATTTTGTAACTGAATCATCAAACTGAAAATATTTCGCTTATTTACCGAAATAGATTGAATAAATTATTTCGAACTGCTTCTTTTAGATATTCCTGGATTTTCTTAGAAATAAATGAACATAAAATAGTGTTGAATTGAAATACATTTTTGATAAACGGCCATTGTTACATTCTATAAAATGATTCTTGTTTGTTCAGAATAAAATACATATGTATTTCCAAAATAACATTACTCAAAAATAAAAACCGGGAGACTTTTTATAGCTTTAGTTTCATCACTTCACGAGAGCATATAAAATTAAAAATGTGCTAAGTTATAATGCGTTACAAGATATTTTTATACAATATACACCGAAGTTAAGCTACGCATTTACAACTAGGTACAATTTACATTTTTATCACGCTCGAATTTTTTATTTTATGTAGTTACAAAAAAACAAAATAAAACAATCGGAATATTTGATTACAATGGTGCTTACCCTTTCGTGATTTTCATTAGCCCTAATTTGCCTATCATATTTTCTTTGTCCGTTGTTATTACTTGAACTACTTCGTTTCCTATTGTGGGAACCTCCAGTAAACATCATCTTGCAACACTTATTTTTTTTCCGTCCCCGTCTCCATTCTTAACACACACCACTTTAGCACATTTACCTAAATACAAAACAAAAACTAAACTCTTTAGTCAATGTCGTTCAGTTTAAAATAAACAAATGCACTTGGTGAGATTCAGACAATATTTCAACTTATTAGCGGTACCAACTTACACGGTCTATTTTTTATTAAAATCATTTTTCTTACGCAAAAAACACTACTTTCATGACATCATATCGCACTGATAATAAACAAATCGACGTAACCACTTTTTTGCCACCATGTAAAATAAAAACACTAATTCGGTTTCCTGCTGTACGACCATTTAAATATTTTGAAACTAATTATGACTTATTAATTCTGAATGCTCCGCAAAATTATTACGAGCGCGGATGTATTTAATTCAGTCTCACTTTTATTGTAATTTCTTAATATTAATTATGGTGTAAGTACCTAAATATAAATGTAAAGAAATCTAAAGAAATTTGTTGTGAATTGCAATCAATTCCACCGCTTAACCAGTCCATTTTAACTGAAGTATAGCTATGTGTTTATACCAACTCGACGAGAGAGGTTTTTATTTTTAGAAAACTCGTTAATCTTAGATTCAACATAAGAACCAATTTGATACCTATAATTTTCGCCACCATCAAAAGAAATATGAAGGGGTTGTCATACGAATAATTCATATTTCGAAAGATGGATACCACTCAAGAATAAAATTTTTAACTAGCCTCAACCTTATTAATTAACATTCGTTGCATTTTTGCTTATTAGCATTTTGTAAAAGGAATTACCGCAAAAATATTAAGCTGTAAGAAATACTTTTTCCAATGAAAATAGTTCAAAAAATAATTGAAGACCCAAAAATAACGGTAAACGTGAGTTATACTAAAAAATAAAGATAACAACGTAAAATAAACAAGGTTTATATGTCTTTTTCAAATAAAAAGATTAACCTGAATTATAAATTACATTTTTAGAATTAGCATAAATGAAAACAACTATTTCTCTTTAGCCATTTAAAATCTGAACCTATGATTAAACCATAGACAACCCTACTTGTCTGATAGTTTGTATCAACGGTATCAACCCAACCCACTATACATCTCTTATCTATGGTTTGTATTCTATGTTTATCTATAACTCTATAGTTCTTGTTGTTTTGACGGAAAGATGGTATGTGTTACTTATTTTTAATTCTTAAATTATTATAGTGATCATCCTATTTTTGCATATAAATTAAATGGAATCTTGTTCCTCACAACGTTCTTAAAATACTTTGTTCGTTATATTGATGTTACTTATTGATTAACATTCAAATGTACTTTGAGGTTAGTAAGTTTTACATTATGCTTTTCTTTTAGACGAAGGGTACATCAAGTTTTGGTAAACGTCGCAATAAGACACATACCTTGTGTCGTAGATGTGGTCGGTCTTCATATCACATTCAAAAATCTAAATGTGCACAGTGTGGATACCCTTCTGCCAAACTGCGATCATGTAAGTAGTTACACATTGTTATCAATTAATTGTAACCACGACATCTCTTATTTTAGACAATTGGTCTGTTAAGGCCAAAAGGAGGAAGACCACCGGAACTGGACGATGCCGACACTTAAAAGTAGTTCGACGACGTTTCCGAAACGGATTTAGGGAAGGTAGCAAACCTGCCCCTAGAAAGACAGTTTAATTATACGTGTAGTTTTGTTATTACATTCAATAAACTATAAGACAAAGATAAAACTGAATTTGTAATGTTTATGGCTGGAACAATACAATTAAAGATGGAAAGAAATATTTTTCAATCATTAATAACTTCAATTTAGAATATATAAAAATTATTTTGCAATTAACAAAATAGGTCATTAAGTTACGATTTTTTATTAGAACTTTTAATTACATGTCACCACCAACTTGCATGCTTAATTAACTTAATACAATTAACTAAATTCTGTAAAACAAGACATAATCTGTAAATTTGTAGATATCATTTTTAGTTGCAGATTTAACAATTTTTTTAATATAATTTATCCCTCAAAATCCAGTGTCATATTTTGGAAATAATACCTACCTCACAGTAACTGTCATAAAAAATACTAGCTTTTTGTACCGGTACAAACATAGACAACATGTATGCTAAGAACATGTTTAAGAGAGCTGTCTAATAGTTGCAAATACAAAACATTTAAAAGTTTCTTTTAATGACAAGACATGTAAGACTTAATTTGTGTAGTAATTACCTTGATATAAAAACTAGCATATCAATTTTAATTATTAATTTATCAGAACTGTGTTTCTAAAAGAAACCAAATAGCAAAGTAAGCCAGTAAATAGATTTGAAAAAGATTATAAATTTCTTCATTGAATAAACTGAGCTTAATTAAATTAAATTTTTGTAGTTAATGTTTTCATAGAAAAACTTCCTGTAGTTAAAAAGTCTCTTGAAAANCCCGACTAGAATCGTCGGTATTTTCAGCAGCTAAATGGTCAGATTCGTCTAGAATAACATAAACATTCAACAATAATTAATTATACTACAGAAACAAATTTTAACCTTCCATGTCTCCATCTGCTTGTATCATATATCCTAACTCTGTTGGAAACGTATGTGCAATATCATCCACAATTTCAGCTTTTTCCATTATTAAAACATATATTTTTATTCTCTTATTATTTAATTCTCATCAATTTATAATTTACCTACTTCTATTTCATCTGTTATTGACAACTATCTATGTTGACAACATTGAAAATTGACAATAATGACAACCACAGTTATTGACAGTTATTCGATAAAGGCAATCATAGAGGCGCTTTTATCTGTTTGTTTTTTTATGCCTTGTCTATGTTTTATACGATTATAGGTTATGTTTTATTATTTACTGTTTGATTTAAGCACATTCAAAGTATTTGTGTAGTATTTTTAAAATAAAAATTAGGTATTTGGGTACTGTTGGTAATAAAAAAGAAAATGCTTTTCTTAGCGATTAATAAACCATGAGTCTGCGATTTCATAGCAAGACTTACATGTTTTTAGCCATTACAACTGTAGTACTGTATATTCTGTATACAAAATTTTCAAAACCTGCTAAACAAGAAAACAATGAAGGCATACAAGAAATTAATAAACAAGAGAGTAAAACTAAAGTTTCTGTTCCAAGGTACCCAATATTTTCTATACTTTATTTCATAAAGATATAGTATGCTCTAACTTCATTTAGAAACAAAATCGTGGTAGCCGTTGTGGCCTGTGGAGTTAGACTTAATGAAACTTTAACTATGATAAAGTCAGCTGTTATGTTCACTCAAGCGACTCTACAAATAATAGTTGTTACAGAGGAAAATTTAATTGATGGATTTCATAAAATTGTAAGAACACATGTAAGGTATAAAAAATAGGATTTTATCAGTATTTAATTTCAGCTTACTGAATGGAAAAATATAGCACAAGTTTCATTTGATTTTAAAATTCTTCCTTTAACCTTTCCAAAGGAAAATACAGAAGAGTGGCAAAAATTATTCAAACCATGTGCATCACAACGTTTATTTTTGCCTGTAGGCCTTTTTAATCAATTTTTTCTTTTTTAAATTACTGACTACACATTTCTTTATTACTAGTCTGTACTACATGATGTTGATTCTATTCTATATGTGGATACTGATACTCTGTTTTTAACACCCCCTGAAAAGATATGGGAACATTTTTATAAAATGAATTCTAGTCAAATGGCAGCCTTAGCCCCAGAGCATGAAGATCCAAATGTTGGATGGTATAACAGATTTGCAAGACATCCTTATTACGGGAAATTAGGTTGATACTAAATTAATGTTTTATATGTATTTAATAGAAAATATCTTCTTCATTAGGTGTTAATTCTGGTGTTATGTTAATGAATTTAACAAGAATGCGCAAATTCCAATGGGGTGCTTATGTAACACCAATTTATAAAAAGTATAAGTTAAAAATAACATGGGGTGATCAAGACATCATTAATATAATCTTTCATTATCATTCTGGTAATAATTAAACTAGCATAAAAATTAATTAACGCCCTTCTAAATGTAATAGACTTAATAGAATTACAAAAAAATCCTTTTAGATAAACTTTTTATATACCCATGTCGTTTCAACTTCCGACCAGATCACTGCATGTACATGAGTATTTGCAAAAGTGCAGAAAAGGATGGGGCAGCAGTTTTACACGGTTCCAGAGGCTTCTTTCACTCTGATAAACAGCCTGCTTTTAAGATCATTTATAATGCTTTTGAAAAGGTAAAAATATTACTTATTTTGTTGCAAACTTTTTCATATAAAAATTTCACGAAAATGCATATATTCTTATTTACTCAGGCAGACACTATATTCGAATTAAAATTACGTTATTTACAGATTCTTTACCCTTTTTTATACATCACTTTGTTTATGTAAATTTATTAGTATCATAAATTTTAATTCAATTTAACAAGCACTTGCATATTATTATTATTTTAATAGTTGAAATTGTTCTGTATTAATAAAAAATCTTAATTTTAGTTTCAGCTTGGTGGTGATCCATACAGCAACTTTTATGAAGATTTAGCTGCAGAATTAAACGCAACAACGCATACAAACTGTGGCCTTGTAAAGGACATATTTTTGAAAAGTATTAGACAATCTTTGCCATAAAGCTTATTTTTTTGTTTTTTTTTACGATATAACAGTATTTTACATAAACTGATTAAATTTTTATACTGCATACATTTAACAATAATCGTGATTGTGATATAGTTCTAAGTAGCAACACATTTTTTTCTTTTTTCTAAGTAACACCTCTCACTTGCTTCACTGGTTACAAAGCTTATAAATTCTGATACGCACTCCTGAACACACTCTCTAGCATCTTTTGCTATCTAAAATAAACATATGTTAAATTAAAAGTAAATTGTTACTTGTCTGCTTTACTTTTCCTGATTCTGGAATAGCTCTCTTCATTATTTTGGCAACATTCGCAATTGGTAGAAATCTATCTTGTTCACGTAAAGGTGCACCAGATTTATCCCCTGCATCCCGACTAGAATCGTCGGTATTTTCAGCAGCTAAATGGTCAGATTCGTCTAGAATAACATAAACATTCAACAATAATTAATTATACTACAGAAACAAATTTTAACCTTCCATGTCTCCATCTGCTTGTATCATATATCCTAACTCTGTTGGAAACGTATGTGCAATATCATCCACAATTTCAGCTTTTTCCATTATTAAAACATATATTTTTATTCTCTTATTATTTAATTCTCATCAATTTATAATTTACCTACTTCTATNCAATAAAAAATTAGCTGCAAGGATTGCCTATTTGAATTAAGTAATAAAAAAAACATCACGAAGAACATTACTGCATACAAATATGAATAGCTATTTTTAAGAAAATGTTTTTGAGTCTTTGAAACTCCTTTATGCGTATCAATTTTAACATAAAATTTTTTATTTTCATTTTTAATGCAGACCTATAAATACTTCCATTTATAAAAATCGTACATTATTTATGTTACTCAGCTTAGTACAATCTTAAAAGAATATAGTAATGCAAAAAAGCCTTTTCATTGTCAAATAAAAATACATTTGCATTAATTTTTCATTTTCTATCACCACTACCATTTCCTGGTATTCTATAATTTTTTATTCCTTTTTTTCACATATTTTGTTATGTTCTTTGTTCATACTGTAGCCAGTACAACTTACTATATTTTCTAAATTTTCTGGCACTTCACATAACTCAGAAGTTTTGTCTTTAGAAATATTTTCTGTAGAAGCTACTTCAATTAGTTTATTACCATATCCGTCGTCTTTTTTGTTTGCTATGTCAGTCAATTTAACATCACAAACATTTTTGGATGTATGTTCGTTATTACAACTTAAATCATTTAATCTGCCATCTTCACTTTCTCCATTTCTGGTTTCTATACATTTTAAATCTGATGGACCTACAATTTGACCATCCTTCAATTTAGTCTGGCAGTTCTTGCAAGAATCACTGCACAGATTTACATTTTGTATTTCAACATTTTCAATAGCATTCCTTTGTATAGTATTAAGAAGATGCCTTAAATTTTCACCAGATAATGAATCTGTTATCACTCTCCTTTCATGGTTTCCAAAATTAAATTGTATTACATGTAAAAGATTAAAGCCAAATGAGGTATTTGTGAGAAACGAGAATATGATGCAAATAAGTATGGCAGTAAAAATAAGTAGCAAAGGAAAGACTACAATTTTAGCATAAAATGGTAATACATCTGAAAACAAATAAGCTTATAAAATTATGTAATTTCAAATAGATACATTATACCTAAAACTGCTACAGAAAATGAGCCAAGAGCTTTTCCAATAAGTGATGCAGGTGTAAGAATTACAATTCCAAATTGATGGGAGAAAACAGTTAAGGGTGCTATACTCCAGAAGTGATCTTTATACATTGTATGATGGTAATTTCTACATTCGGTATCAGTGCCTAAATAAAATAAGCAATTATAAAAACTTTTTAAAACAATATAAATTTAAAAGCAATATCCATTGAACAATATTTCTAAACAGTGTAGGTATATAAAAATTGAGAAATAAATGGGGAAAATTAAAAAATCACTAACAACAATACATACTTAAGGTACTCCATATGTAATTCCAAATTGACATTTTGTTAGGGTCACAATTAGCTGGAACAGAGCCATATCGCAGTGAATCTGCCATTTTATTTATTTCAGCCTCCTAAAATTTTAAATTAATATATATCAACTAATCATATACTCCGTTTTTGTTTATATTACCTGATACAATTTCATCCAAGTAAATGCAAAATCTACAATCCATCCTATAAATATTAAATATCCAATTACAGTCCAAATATTTAATTTTGCTCTTAAAAGTTTGTAACTTATAATACACATAAACAATAAAACCAACAAAATTCCAGTAGTTCTATTGTAAAATTTAAAATATAACTGGTCTGTCCAACCTACAATTGAATCAAAGAAATATTCTTGAGGAGATTTTGCGAAACTGTTAGTCAAAATACTATCAACTTTTCGTAAAGAGGCTGCATCAATGTCAGAACTTTTGGCAAAACTTTTAAGATAATTGTAATCATTTGTGCTCATTTCAATTGTGAGTTGACCACTATAATTAGAATAGTCATCCCTGTTAGCGGTAACAGAATTTAGAAACAAGTTTATCAAACGTTTGTAATGAGTTAATATTAGCTTTTCTTCTGCACATGATGACGAATATACACATCTCTGTTTTTCTGGATTAAAAACACTTGTATCCGTTGTAACTATTTCATGAGGATCAATCCAGTTTTGAGTGTTTTGTGACGAAGAAATTACTGAACATTTCAACAATATAAAAATTAGAAACAGCGTCATAGTTTAAAATATTATAACCTTGAATTAGAACACTTCCGTTGTTTTGTAAACAACATTAATAAGTATCATGAACACCCCATAACAAGTATGATCACCACATTATCATCAAAGACCATAACCTCCTCATCACATAATAATTGCGTAATTGTTTATTTTTTTATAAAACGATGATAAATGTAAACTTAACTATACGCGCCAACAACGACGAATCCTAGCGTATGCGCAACAAACCGACAAACAGATATTGAACTATAACTTACACTCTCTTCTCTGCTTACACCTATTATCTATAACTTACAGACTTACACCATACAGAGGCTGACAGGCTGACACTGACATCGATAATCTTCTAATATCTATGCTTCTAACTATCTATGGTTCTCTAACGTCAAAACATGTTCAAAACAGGTTTGACACGGGAATAACCTTACTTTTGGTTTACTTGGATGAAGACTTGGATTTGAAACACCAATAATTTTTAATTAAAGAAATAATGCTTTGTAGAAAACTAAATAGACGTTACATAGCTTATGGTTTTATTTCCCTAAATTTAAGTGATAGAGTTACCAAGGATACCGAAACAGCTAAAAATGCCGATTTAAGTGTTGTTAGGGAAGAGTCTGGTTGGGATCGTGTAAAATCAGTGTTTAAGAAGAGGTAGATGTCGTATAACTTGATTTAAGAATTATAGTTTCAATTTAAATTTCTAGCGAATACGAAGAAATAAGTTTAGAGTTACAATCGATTTTACAAGTAGCATGTTTAAGTTCTTTTGCTGGTGCAGTATATGGGGGCTTTTTATATAGTAGACAAGCTTACATGGATTTTATAAGAAATAACCAAGCTACATTGTTTACAAATCACATTGAAGCAAAGGTACATTTGTGCATATATTAATTTATAAACGAATCTAATGTATCAAATTTCAGAAAAAATTACAAGATAAGGTTACATTAGGATTTGCAAAAGGTGCTTTTAGATGGGGATGGAGGCTTACATTATTTTGTACAACGTATATGTATGTACTTAAAGTAAATTTGCCTTTTCTTTTAAACTAGATTTAATTTTTTAGGACAGTTTCTACTTTTGTATCAACTTATCGAAATAAGCATGGCATTTTAGAACATGTGATTGCTGGAGCTACATCTGGTTTTCTATATCAACTTCAGGTAGGACCCAAAGCTTGGATTGTTGGTGCAGGTTTAGGTATTTATTAAGTTATAGTATATAAATGATGGATCCAAAACTTAATATATTCCACATTTTTGTTTGGTTTAGGTGTATTTCTAGGAGCAATTGGTGGTAGCTGCACATTAGCACTATTAAAACTAAGTGGCATGACAATGGAAGAAACAAGATATTGGCAAAACAAATGGAAAAGTCCGAGATTAGAAAAATACAAAAAGGAATATCGTAAATTCCTTGCAGAAGAAGATCATCAATTAATAAAGGAAAGAGATGCCAAATTTAAAAGTGGGGAAGGTTTAGATTTAGAAGTAAAATCAGAAGTTACAGACAAAGAAATAAAAAAATAATTAGAATAGTGGGTGTACAGTTATTTAATTAATAAATTTATTTATTCCTTAATTAATTTAATGTTCTCTTAACAAAAAACAGTTAAAATAATATACCTGAAAATAAGCGTCCAAGTGAATAAAAATGTGATTTGCACTACAATTTCTTGATAAAAGAGTATGTATTGTAATACACATCCAGAGGTACAGCGAACCTTGCCTACAACTCATGAAAAATGGTGAAAAGCAGTGTAACTTAAAAAAGGCAGAGTTGATTTTTAAGAAACATTCAAGGAAGTCCTTAAAATAATTTGGTTAAAATAATTATTACTATATTTTATTGCCCTGAAAATTTATTAAGTAAACATAATTAAAAATATTGATTATGTAAACTACAGAGGATTTTACAAGAGAAATTCTTAATAAAATCGTTTTAAGAAAACTTCTTTAGGATCATGCCTATAATTGAACGTACGTTTTCGTACCATTTACAATTGGAAAATTTTTATGTACTTATTAATTTGGTAAATACATTAGATGACTAACATTCTAACAGATTTATTTTCATTAATTCTTGTTTTCTAATCTAGATTGCAAAAAAACTAAACGTTGTATCAAAAAAGTACACAGGACTTATCGATTTTAATTTTAACTCAACCATACAGCTTATGCGATATTGATAGGACACTAGGGATACTATGTATATATTTAAACAAAGAAATGTTTAAAGTCTTTATTCATTTACAATAATGATGGGTACTTGGAACAATTTTCCTTAACGTTATTACAGTGTTAAAAAAATATTCTTTTGCTACTTTTTTGGCAAGAAATAAAGCTCATATTTACGAAGCAAAAGCTACACTTGAGCAAAACATATGCCGCCGTCCACTGTGTGAAAGAACTGTGTATATGCATTTACGTAACAGACAAAACACCAATATCTATAAAAGACAATAAGTTGTAGAAAAATACATTTTTTTGCTAAGTTATCCAGGATATTCCTATTTGAAACAACACATAATAAATACAAAATAAGTTACATTTTCGATTTAATATACACATATTTTCTTATGCAATGGCTAATCTATTTAAAAATTTACCTTGAGCAAAATTAACTTTAATTATTGGTCTGATTTTGACATGAAAATTTTTTATGCATGCTTTTTTAATTAGCAAACTAAATAACATGGATATAATAAAAAAGTGGGCAAATAAGCAGAACTGTAAGAATAATAGCGGTTATAAAGCTTATAAATTCTGATACGCACTCCTGAACACACTCTCTAGCATCTTTTGCTATCTAAAATAAACATATGTTAAATTAAAAGTAAATTGTTACTTGTCTGCTTTACTTTTCCTGATTCTGGAATAGCTCTCTTCATTATTTTGGCAACATTCGCAATTGGTAGAAATCTATCTTGTTCACGTAAAGGTGCACCAGATTTATCCCCTGCATCCCGACTAGAATCGTCGGTATTTTCAGCAGCTAAATGGTCAGATTCGTCTAGAATAACATAAACATTCAACAATAATTAATTATACTATAAAATTTTTAACTAGCCTCAACCTTATTAATTAACATTCGTTGCATTTTTGCTTATTAGCATTTTGTAAAAGGAATTACCGCAAAAATATTAAGCTGTAAGAAATACTTTTTCCAATGAAAATAGTTCAAAAAATAATTGAAAACCCAAAAATAACGGNAACTTTAATTATTGGTCTGATTTTGACATGAAAATTTTTTATGCATGCTTTTTTAATTAGCAAACTAAATAACATGGATATAATAAAAAAGTGGGCAAATAAGCAGAACTGTAAGAATAATAGCAGTAAAGCAACATGAATTACTAAAAAAAATATAAAAACATTTATATACGCAAGTGTTGTTACTAAAATATTCATTAACAGTGTAACATCTTACCGCTCAGTATGCGTGTATAAGACTGGTTGTAATTTTCTGAATGCAACGGAAACGCGAATGCGGAAGTAAAGGAAAGGGAAGCGCGAGCTATTTAAACGGTTGGGCTTGAAGAGACAAAGAAAATGGGATAAAGATAAAAATCTTGGTTTTCAACAGCACGACGCATTATTATTCAACATTTTACGATTAGTTGTAAAATTATTATTCGGCTTGTTAGCGACGTTAGATGTTACACATTGTTGGCGACTGCTGTAAGACTCGTATTTATTAATTATTGTCACATTCAAATAATGCCTCTGGAATACAGTACAAGGTAAAGCGGTTTTTTTTTGGTTCACAAATTTAATTAATCAAATAACAATAATTATTATCCACTTATACTTTTGATGAAGCTTTACACGTGTTTTTAATTTCTTATCCTTATAAAATTCTGATGGCTCTTTAATACTTGATATTCCAAGTAAATTACTATAGTAATGATAAAAAAATGTATCACTTTATTTAAAATTAAGCAACGTTTTAATTCTAAATTTGATGTTTATTTACAATATTTATAGGTATAATCAATTAATTGATAATTTTTTTTTCTGTACTTGCAACGTTAAATGTTACTCTTTGAGGTTTCAAATTGAGGGCAAAAAACGTTGCCGCATTTGAAATAAAATAATGTATTTTATAAGTGATTTTTTTCCACTAGCATCTTTCTTTGTGAAGAAATGTATGCGTACTAATATATGGCAAGGCCAACGAAACATGAAAAACTTTGAAATGAAAATTAGTATAGGCGACTGCTGTATGAACAGAAAAAAATGTTTGCAAAATCCGTTTGTATGTTTACTTATCTTGCGTTCTAGTCATTCGTTTTGGACCTCTTCCAGGTGGCCCTTTTGGTTTCGCAAATTGTGGTCGATGCAGATTTTTCGTTGGATGTATTTCTTCATATAAAAATGATTCTGTAAGTTCTGAACCAGAATCTATCTCTAACTGTAATGAAATGAATATTACTAATTTTAAATCTATAACTTAAATTAGCGTCATTTAGATTTAGCGACTACATTTTACCTTTTTGTTAATATCTAGTCCTAATTGTGTAATAACATCGATGAGTGGATTCTTGCAACTGGAATATAACATCCTTTCTTTTATAGAACAACTATATCCAGGCATAGAATAAATGAACACTAAAAAATGAGTTACAAACGCCATAAATTTATATAAAAACATTTTAAGGAGAAATATATTTAAATCACATTACTAAGAGATGTCAAAATTTTTTAGCATTATGAACTTATAGAAATTACCTATACTTTCCATGTAGTCCCCCTCATGAGTATGCATGAACCTGTAGAGATGATATCTTGCCGATTTTTCAGGAACTTTTGACGGTAGTTTTTCTATGGGTACGTTTTCAGCCGTTGCAAGATTAATCTTTTCATTTTCTATATCTACAATTTGCTTTAATGAATATTCATAAGGTAATTTGTACCTTCACAACCACTTTTCTTGTAGTATTTTTACTTGAAAAAGTTCGACTTCTTGAACACGAATATTTTGCGAATATCGTGAGTGGTAATGTGATATCAAATGAAATCATAATCTACATAAAATCCATTTTATATTTACTATTTTCCACATATTTTTCGCTAGACCGTTAATTAACCCAGATTGGAAATGTAAAACTTTCAAAATTTTAGTATTTTGAGAACTATTTATTCCGCCGGCCATTTAGTTTTTGAGAACAGAACAATATAGAGTTTACTTAATTACACAGGGTGTTTCGAATATGTTATCTATAAAATTCTTTAAATTTATAGCTGATTTCTGTAAGCCAGTGAAAAATGTAAACAAAGTAAACTATGCAATACCTATTTCAAATTGTAGATAGTCGTAAGAGCCCCGTTTCATATCAATAATAGCTTGCTGTGCAGGTTCTGTAACTGGAAAAGCCACACCACCTAAGGTTTGGTGCTTACTATTAATACTAATATCCGTATGTACTTCTGTTCTTTTTACTTCATTCAGTTCTTCTTCTCTCATTGATAGCGGAGCTGGTGCGGCTAAGACTTTTTTGTATTTTTTGTATCCATCCAAAGTAATTTCACTCTGTAAATGTATATTAATTCACTATAGTGTTTCGCTTTTTAAATGCCAGGGGTTTTCAACAGGTGATATTATTTAAGATTTCAGAAATTTAAAATGTTCTAAAAATTACTTACAGTAAGTAAAAACTAAATGAAATATCTGAAGTTAAAAGAATGGTGTAAATATTCGTATTCAAGTAAAAACTACACTAATTCATCCAAATGCTGTAACTAAAACTGAACTATTCTATTTCACTTTGTTTCAGAGTTATTAATAATTTTTGAAAGTGCTGCAAATGACATTATCTTTTTATCTGAAAAGAGAATTTACAAAATAGAGGGTACTCCATTTATTTAAACAATTTTTGTAACTTTGCCTTTAACAAAGTTATATCGCAATTACATTTTGGTGTGCATTCTTTATTTATTTTACGAATTAAAAAATCCATAGCGACTAATTTGCTGGATTATTAAAATATTTTGGTATATACAGTCATATTTTGAGATTTTTAGTAATGATTTTCATAAAAATTACATTGTCTTTGCATCTTAGTCTCATTTATGTATTTTTCAATTGATCATTTTGCTGATGAGTGTACACAGAAATGATGTAAATATACTTTTTTATCTTTATCTCAATCATAATGCACACATACATTATGAAAGGATATCTACAGGAAGTTAATAATATTTGCAGACTTATCAGCAATTCAATGACACTACACAAGCTATTATCTATTCTATTCCATCTATTTAACTTAATGTAGATATGCGTATTTAACACTGCACTTTGCAGTTTTTATATTATAAAGTCAATTATATGGGAACTTTAATAATTATATGATGTTAACCTTTATTGTATATATTACGATTATTACATTACCTTTATTGTACCATGTATTTCTTCTTTAATTTGAGAAGATCCAAATTCCTGTTTAAGAGTTGCTTTAGTGGAGGCATACAGCATTTTTTGCCTTACAGTGGCAGTGTCAGGAGACCAACTAATAAACAGCCATTCATAGCCAGAATCATTTTTCGTATCCAATCTTTAAAAACTACATTAATATGGAAAAATACAGTATGATAATTCTTTGACTAACCTGTACAATATATAGCAGGGTTGATTTTCCTCTATTAATGGAAGTACATACTTATCATAGTCTTTTTCCCAATTGTGTTTAATGGCATGGTGTGATGATAAAACAAGTTGTTCTACAAACAATTAATAAAATATAGTAAACTATTAGATCCCATACAAACTTTTACCATTTTCTATAGAAACCTTAAATACCCTGACTTTTCCGTCTTTGCATTTCACAAAAAACTTTTTCAAAGCATCATTGGCTAAAACAATATTTTTTTAATGAAAATAGTTTTAAACAAATAATGCAAATTCAAAAAATATATTACATACCATGTATTCCGGTTTGGTGAGACATTATTAATTAAAATAGAAAACTTGCCTAATCTAAAATTAAACACCTTAAATTACAAAAATAATACAAACAGCACGTAAGCAGCTTGTCCAGACTACACTTTTTAACAACATTAAAACTCAAATTTGCAGTGCACGGTCTCCGCCCACACTTCAGAGCGATATAACTTGTTCTATTTTTTTATTTATTTAATGCTGTTTTTTGTGTTGCTAAAGAATACACTAATTCATCTAATACAATCAATTTCACAAAATTTACAAAAAATTCATATTAAAAGATCTACAAAAACTGTTCGGAAGTAAACATATAATAAACTGTAACATTTATATTTTACAGCATTTTATTCATTTCTAATTTGTAACACTGTTGCCTTCTGAGTTTTTTTGAGACGAGATATTATTTATGAGTAAAATCTACAAAAGTAGAAGCATACATTTCTACTAATTTTGAAAAATTTTGGGATTTAAAAATGAAAATTTTGGTAAATTATGATAATTATGCAGTAAACTTTAAGCATTCCTATTTCATGTTAGATAAGAAATTTAGTCCAAATGTAATCCATTACTAAATTTGGCAATAACGGTCTCTTATACTTGACGTTTGTCCATAGACGTTTGTCTTTGACGTTTGTGATCTTTGAAAATTTGTTTGACGTTTATTGTTTTTTAAATTTCAATATTGTAAAAATGTTTAGAAGTTCCAAAGAGGCATTTATAAAGCAGTTAAAGTTAAAAGAAGATCTAAAAATTACATAAACAGTTTGAATAATGTATGTTTTTCATTCGTAATTTTTTGGTTAAGGTGATAAATCTGATATTGATTTTTGAACTTAATTGAATTAATTTCAGACACCAAAATGATGGAAAATGGTAAAATGACTTTTATTACCCAAGAATTATCTGCCGTAATGTTTCAGAAACTTTACGAACAGAAACGTAGTAACAGATTCTGTGATATAACACTGCTTGTGAATAACAAAATCATTAAGGCTCATCGAAATGTATTGGCCTGTAGCTCTCCATATTTTGACTCAATTTTAAAACATCATAAAATTATAAAAGAACAGTTAACTATCAATTGTATTGATAGCAATACATTTGATGTGATTATTAATTACATGTATACCGGTCAAATTACAATAGAACCATCGATAATAGAAGAACTTTTAAGATTGGCAGATGCATTTTTAATAACAAAAGTAATTGAATATTGTATAGAATACCTAGGCACTAATTTGAATGTAGAGAATTGTTTATTTACATACAGCTTAACACAAAGGTTTAGGCTTAAACACTTAGGAAATTTAGTGGAAAGTTGGATTATTAATCATTTAAATGAAATATGTGAGAGGAAGGAAGTTCTAAATTTAAATTTGATAGAATTGCAGGAATTTCTTAAAAATAAGGTAAGCAGACAGAAACTTTGCTAATTAAAATTGAATGAATGTATGATCTACAGGCAGGGCTGTGCAAATACCATTATTAATTATTTAACATTAGATTTATTTTTCAAAGATTTTTCTTAATTGAAGGTGTTCAACATAAGTTGGTCAAAAGGTATTATTGTTGCTTCTGAATGGGTTTTAGTAAACACAATAAAAAGAGAAAAAGATTATTACAAACTGTTGCGTTGTCTAAATTGGACCAATACAAGTCATGATATTGTATTTAAGCACTTTGAATGTTGTCATTTGTATTCAGCTAGTGAATTGTGTTTGTTCTTTTTCTTGCAATGCCTTTTTGAGAATAATATGTTGTTGACTAATTTTAAACAGAAATATGAAGAGCTTCAATCAAAATGTAATCAGGTAAAAAGCCACACTGATATATGTATACTATTAGAATATATCAATGTTAATTTTTTGTTTACAGTTTCTAAAGCAAGAAAATGAAGGCTGCCAAAGCGGAGATCACAGTGGATTGGACAGCAAGAATACAGAAAAAGAGAACAATATTTTGCAACCTCTAGTCATAAAACCAAAAACTAAAAATAGAAAACGAATGCTCCTTAAAAAATTGATGTTTTGTAGTTTAAAACCAAGTTTAAGGATGTTGCTGCTTAAGCAGAAGAAAATTGCAGTGGAAGATTTTTTATCGGGAGACAGTGATGGTATGGTATATTTTTAAAATTTAATTATGAGTTATCCAGTTAGCTTGTGTACTTTCTATTTCCTTACCTTTCTACTAAAACTTCAAAAAGNACTACACAAGCTATTATCTATTCTATTCCATCTATTTAACTTAATGTAGATATGCGTATTTAACACTGCACTTTGCAGTTTTTATATTATAAAGTCAATTATATGGGAACTTTAATAATTATATGATGTTAACCTTTATTGTATATATTACGATTATTACATTACCTTTATTGTACCATGTATTTCTTCTTTAATTTGAGAAGATCCAAATTCCTGTTTAAGAGTTGCTTTAGTGGAGGCATACAGCATTTTTTGCCTTACAGTGGCAGTGTCAGGAGACCAACTAATAAACAGCCATTCATAGCCAGAATCATTTTTCGTATCCAATCTTTAAAAACTACATTAATATGGAAAAATACAGTATGATAATTCTTTGACTAACCTGTACAATATATAGCAGGGTTGATTTTCCTCTATTAATGGAAGTACATACTTATCATAGTCTTTTTCCCAATTGTGTTTAATGGCATGGTGTGATGATAAAACAAGTTGTTCTACAAACAATTAATAAAATATAGTAAACTATTAGATCCCATACAAACTTTTACCATTTTCTATAGAAACCTTAAATACCCTGACTTTTCCGTCTTTGCATTTCACAAAAAACTTTTTCAAAGCATCATTGGCTAAAACAATATTTTTTTAATGAAAATAGTTTTAAACAAATAATGCAAATTCAAAAAATATATTACATACCATGTATTCCGGTTTGGTGAGACATTATTAATTAAAATAGAAAACTTGCCTAATCTAAAATTAAACACCTTAAATTACAAAAATAATACAAACAGCACGTAAGCAGCTTGTCCAGACTACACTTTTTAACAACATTAAAACTCAAATTTGCAGTGCACGGTCTCCGCCCACACTTCAGAGCGATATAACTTGTTCTATTTTTTTATTTATTTAATGCTGTTTTTTGTGTTGCTAAAGAATACACTAATTCATCTAATACAATCAATTTCACAAAATTTACAAAAAATTCTGTAATGAAATGAATATTACTAATTTTAAATCTATAACTTAAATTAGCGTCATTTAGATTTAGCGACTACATTTTACCTTTTTGTTAATATCTAGTCCTAATTGTGTAATAACATCGATGAGTGGATTCTTGCAACTGGAATATAACATCCTTTCTTTTATAGAACAACTATATCCAGGCATAGAATAAATGAACACTAAAAAATGAGTTACAAACGCCATAAATTTATATAAAAACATTTTAAGGAGAAATATATTTAAATCACATTACTAAGAGATGTCAAAATTTTTTAGCATTATGAACTTATAGAAATTACCTATACTTTCCATGTAGTCCCCCTCATGAGTATGCATGAACCTGTAGAGATGATATCTTGCCGATTTTTCAGGAACTTTTGACGGTAGTTTTTCTATGGGTACGTTTTCAGCCGTTGCAAGATTAATCTTTTCATTTTCTATATCTACAATTTGCTTTAATGAATATTCATAAGGTAATTTGTACCTTCACAACCACTTTTCTTGTAGTATTTTTACTTGAAAAAGTTCGACTTCTTGAACACGAATATTTTGCGAATATCGTGAGTGGTAATGTGATATCAAATGAAATCATAATCTACATAAAATCCATTTTATATTTACTATTTTCCACATATTTTTCGCTAGACCGTTAATTAACCCAGATTGGAAATGTAAAACTTTCAAAATTTTAGTATTTTGAGAACTATTTATTCCGCCGGCCATTTAGTTTTTGAGAACAGAACAATATAGAGTTTACTTAATTACACAGGGTGTTTCGAATATGTTATCTATAAAATTCTTTAAATTTATAGCTGATTTCTGTAAGCCAGTGAAAAATGTAAACAAAGTAAACTATGCAATACCTATTTCAAATTGTAGATAGTCGTAAGAGCCCCGTTTCATATCAATAATAGCTTGCTGTGCAGGTTCTGTAACTGGAAAAGCCACACCACCTAAGGTTTGGTGCTTACTATTAATACTAATATCCGTATGTACTTCTGTTCTTTTTACTTCATTCAGTTCTTCTTCTCTCATTGATAGCGGAGCTGGTGCGGCTAAGACTTTTTTGTATTTTTTGTATCCATCCAAAGTAATTTCACTCTGTAAATGTATATTAATTCACTATAGTGTTTCGCTTTTTAAATGCCAGGGGTTTTCAACAGGTGATATTATTTAAGATTTCAGAAATTTAAAATGTTCTAAAAATTACTTACAGTAAGTAAAAACTAAATGAAATATCTGAAGTTAAAAGAATGGTGTAAATATTCGTATTCAAGTAAAAACTACACTAATTCATCCAAATGCTGTAACTAAAACTGAACTATTCTATTTCACTTTGTTTCAGAGTTATTAATAATTTTTGAAAGTGCTGCAAATGACATTATCTTTTTATCTGAAAAGAGAATTTACAAAATAGAGGGTACTCCATTTATTTAAACAATTTTTGTAACTTTGCCTTTAACAAAGTTATATCGCAATTACATTTTGGTGTGCATTCTTTATTTATTTTACGAATTAAAAAATCCATAGCGACTAATTTGCTGGATTATTAAAATATTTTGGTATATACAGTCATATTTTGAGATTTTTAGTAATGATTTTCATAAAAATTACATTGTCTTTGCATCTTAGTCTCATTTATGTATTTTTCAATTGATCATTTTGCTGATGAGTGTACACAGAAATGATGTAAATATACTTTTTTATCTTTATCTCAATCATAATGCACACATACATTATGAAAGGATATCTACAGGAAGTTAATAATATTTGCAGACTTATCAGCAATTCAATGACACTACACAAGCTATTATCTATTCTATTCCATCTATTTAACTTAATGTAGATATGCGTATTTAACACTGCACTTTGCAGTTTTTATATTATAAAGTCAATTATATGGGAACTTTAATAATTATATGATGTTAACCTTTATTGTATATATTACGATTATTACATTACCTTTATTGTACCATGTATTTCTTCTTTAATTTGAGAAGATCCAAATTCCTGTTTAAGAGTTGCTTTAGTGGAGGCATACAGCATTTTTTGCCTTACAGTGGCAGTGTCAGGAGACCAACTAATAAACAGCCATTCATAGCCAGAATCATTTTTCGTATCCAATCTTTAAAAACTACATTAATATGGAAAAATACAGTATGATAATTCTTTGACTAACCTGTACAATATATAGCAGGGTTGATTTTCCTCTATTAATGGAAGTACATACTTATCATAGTCTTTTTCCCAATTGTGTTTAATGGCATGGTGTGATGATAAAACAAGTTGTTCTACAAACAATTAATAAAATATAGTAAACTATTAGATCCCATACAAACTTTNTATCAAGTTTATATGTATATAAATGGAAAAATAACATAAATAACGTTTGTTAATTGTCAAAACTACAAAAATTGTCATAAATTAAGTAATTACAAAGTGTTTTTGTTGTAACTATTTTTTAACTAATTGCGATCTTCACATAACTATAAACATATTCTCCAGGGGAAGCTGCTGAAGAGAAAATTGGGATTAAATGTCCAATGTGCAACAATATTTTGCATGATTCCGCACTTCTTGAACAACATCTAGCATTGAGTCATGTCAAGGAAGTTACATACAAGTGTAGTCACTGTTCGTTTATTTGCCAGTTTCATGGAGATTACACGAACCATATGAAAAGTCATTTCTCAGGCCCTCCGTTTAAATGCGATTTATGTGAGTTATGCTTGTTTTCATTTGTATTTGCTTTACTTATGTTATGATTTAATTACTTATTGTTTTTAGTGTCTTTATTTTTTCTGAGTTATTAAATAAACATTTTAAATTTTTAAGTGTTTTATTTTTTTTCGCATGAATTTTACTTTTAAGTGTTCTTAGTATATTATTTTTAAAAATTATATTAATTTAGTGTTTGCACTTTTAATCATACCAACATTTTAATCAGTTTTTATCGCTAATTTGTAAAATACATATAAAAGGAACTTATTTTAAGGCAGTTAAATATACAATGCAATGTTATCACTGTAGCCTCAGTAACGTTCGCGGCAGCCAAGGTGGATACTGAAAGTGTCGCTACTTTCTTATGTGAGAAAGTACTAAAACGGTAAAAATTAAATGCGCTCCAGCTGAAGATGACGGCCTCCGCCACTCTTGAGTGCCGTCACTGCCTTTCCCTATTTATGCCACAGTTGTTAAAATATATTGATCTACATAGATATTTAATATTTTAAAAGCAATTCGAAGGTAGTGTTTGTAGATAATGTAAAGAACATGAGGTGTGCTCACGAGCAGTTTTGAGAAATCAGCTAATCATGTTCGCCCCCCTTTATCAGTAGTTTTTGAGTTATAGATACATTTTTTTTTTTTCATTTAATAGTTAATAATGCTGCCAAGTACACAACGAAAAACAAGAAGTCAAACTTTTTCGCGCAAAAATTTCGTGAAAATGCATACATGTATTCTTATGGAGCGCATTTTAATTAGCTGTGTAACCAATCGTCCCGCGCTCTTTTTTAATGAACGGACTTTATTGAAACCTTTAATTTAATGATCTGCGACTTACGCAAACTACTTCCGAATTGTTGTTAAATATGTGTATAGAAAAAGATAACTCTTGGTAAATTTTATAAGTTTTCTTATTTTATTTTTATTTAAGTACTAATGTTGCAGTAAACTATGAATTAAACTTAGAATAAATATATGGCAAAAAAGTTACAAGATAAAAAGGTACATTAACGATTCCGATTCGTATTTAATATTATTGCTTTGTGCATAAAATTTTCAAAGTTTAAGTATGGGCAGTATATTGCCATCTAGTGGCCACTTGCTTCTAATAACTTAAAGTAAATGTTCTTATTAAAATTTAATTGTTTATGATCGAAAACGCACCTGATAGTTTCAATAAATTACCGATCAAGAACTAATTGTTCTGTTATTAATTTAATTTAAAATACGTGCCTTTTACGTGTATAAGTTTCAATTGGTGAGACCCTTGTCTAATATAAAATACTTCAGTTGGCAGCTGAGGTCAGTAGATGGCGATAAGTTGCCACAACTAGGTATTTAAAAAGTTTTATACAGCGGTGGCGAGTTATTAACCAAACTTAGGAATATTCCATTGCACGCAATTATCAAAAGACGGTATCATTTTTTGAAAAATACGACGTGGCATACGAAAATTCCTATTAATACCTTTAGCCTTCTTTTCATATAAATAATAAAGTAATACAATTCCAATTAATGAAGTTTGAAGCTTCTAATGAGTGTTACACCTTGTTCAAAAGATTTTGAGAGTTCAATTAGTTTAGGACAATTTTTAAATAGACGTGGTTGAACGAATATATTCCACACGTTTACCAAATCATATGCATTTTTGCTCATGCGACATAAAAAGAAAAAATTCTATATCCGGTGAAGATGTTTCCTTACCTGTATAGTGGTATAATATATAGCACCGTGTGAAGAAGCAAGATAGAGTACAACGATTTTTTTACATGCTTTTAATATTATTCCACCTAATAATATTATTATTGTTTGTATTATTTATTGCAGGGAAATTTTGTACAATTTTATTTCAAACTATTTTTTTACATGCCTTAATAAAGGCTCTACTTTTTAACAGCCCCTTCACACATTTGTGGACAAATTATGTGGTAAATCATGTGTCAGGATGGGCAATAAATTGTTGCAGTTCATATATTTTTTATACTGTGTAAAAATCGACGGCATTCATAAAAAAATTAATTTTTATCGCAATTTGACATCATTATTATTATTAATCCAAAAATATAGTTAACGGCTTCAACATTTCTAAATATTATANCTTCGCATTTCCCTAAAACTAGAACAACCCACATCCTTAACTATTTGCGAACAGTAATCTAACCTAGGTCTACCTCTACCCCTCCTGACTCCTGCTTCTGCCTCTATGTCTCTGACTAGACCTTCATGCCTGAGAAGGTCTCCTACCAACCTATCTCGCCTATTTTTTATTGACTTCCATAGAGTCCTCTGTTCTCCTATTCTTTCTAATACCTCTTCATTTTTAACCTTTTTTACCCACGTTTCGAAGGCTTCTTACCTCTTCTTTTCCGCCGCGCCCACTGTCCATGTTTCGCACCCGTACAACGCCACGTTCCAAACATACACCTTTAACAACCTTTTTCTTACTCTTATAATAATTATTAACGAGATAGCCATTATCTTGACGTTCTAATATGGCTGACTTTTTTGATCTGAACTTACTTACACATTATGATTTGGAGATATTTTAATCTAAATATGTAAAAACGGTTTCCAATTTGACGGTAGATCAAAATCGAAGGTTACTAGGCATTTTACTAGGTCATAAAGGATAAATATTTGATGATTGAATAATGTCGATGCATTACATTTAATACGCTGCGATCTGGGCTGGTTAAGGGTTTGTTACGCGAGTTCTAAGCCTGAGTTTGTTTGTTGTACGTCGTTAGTTTAATTGGTGGAAATTCCTGAAGAAGACATTTGATTACCAATATGGCGACCTTCAAAATTTCAACCCCGAATCAATCTTGTTTTCACTACAAATGAATCGCGAAGTTATAGAGTGAACGATTTAGATATTTTAAAAGGGACCTTAACGAAACAACATGTCTAATGTTTTCAATACGTCTAAGATGCTTGTCTAAGTTTTTGTAATAAAAAGCTCTTGCATTAATAAATTTCAGCAGACGCATATCGTTGTTCCTATCCACATTGTAAGTTTTCATCGTCTAAGAAAAATCAACTGTTGACTCATGCCAAGACTCATAATGGCGTAAGACCGCACTCGTGTAATGTATGCGGACGGGGGTTTATGGAAAAGTCCCATCTTGTTCGTCACGAAAGGATACATCTCGAAGAGAAACCCTTTAAATGTTCTAACTGTGATTACGCCAGTTCCAGAAGAGATAAATTGAAAGAACACTTTACGAGACACCATGGAGAAAACGCGTCTGCTAAAGTTCCTTACAAAGCACGGCCTATGAGAAATAACAGTACTTGTTCCAATACAAAATCTAAACAGACCGTAAGTTTTTATTTTATTTTACTATTACTAGTTTTTCCCTCCTATCCAGTCACTGTGAGCACGAAATTGTTAACATCATTGTTTCGAGTGGTCGAAATTCACTTTTGTGAAAAATCACTTTCTTTGTGTTAAAAATTGTTTGAAAAATGAAATTGTTTGTAAATAGATATGCAACACATCGTACAATTCAGCATAAGAAATTGCTGATACTAATTACGTAATACTAGAAAATACCACAAATGGCGCGGTAAACGCAATCTGTAGTAGGTACGATGCTACATTTTAGGATTACGTATGTGTTCTGTCAGAGCTGTCTGCGACGTGCTGATGAGATCCAAAAAGATCGAAATCGCGATCCGCGTCTGGCAGTTTCGACAGAATACAGACCACTTCGAATTATTTTATACGTAATACTACTTTGCCTTGTGCTAACAGCACTCATAATTTCTTTTATATATAATATTATGGGTGTCCCAAACGTATGGCGATATGGCACATATTTATTTTAAAGACAGTCTTAGAAAAACATGTTTCAGATAAAGATTTTAGTTTAAATCCTTGCCACATTTGGTTTTGTGTGCTCATATTTCATAAATTGTTGCTGCTTTTAGTCTGCTCCAGAACCCACATCGAGTGCAAATTCTTCAACGCTTAATTTTACTCCCACAACAACCACTTTAGCACCGAATATTACTCAACCTATTGGGACCGATTTGCAGGAGCTAATGATGCAACATCAAAATCATCCAGTTACTTCAGGTAGTTAATTGCTTTTAATTCTGTAGTTTCAAATTTCAACTTTTATTCTAAGAGTAAGACGTAAGCAATTGTGGCTGGGTTTCAATGATAATAATCTATTAGGTGTACTAGAATATTTTGAAAATTACAAGCGTTATGGAAGTGTGACTTTTGACCATCTAGATGCTTCCACCAATATTTTATTACTAAATAATCATGGTAGATATAAGGTCAGTTTTGGCAAAAAGGAAAACCGAAGATGACCACTAGCGGCTCCAAAATTTGGAAAAGTTTTGTTAGATTCAGCGTGGAAACTGAGTGGAAACGTCAAAATCCAGTGTAATTAGCATGGAAATTACGATTTTATGTCATTCACTTAGTAGGGATTTGAATAATTATTAGCTTCAAGAAATTTTAATTTTGAATTTTCTTTAAGTTTTCGAATACTTTAAAGCAGGATATAAGGTATTATGGGATCAAAGTTACTAAGTGCCCAATAGTGCGGTACCTAGAAATGTGGAATATCCCTTTTGGTTTGAGAGATATTTCATCAAAGTTTTGGATTTTCATTAACTCGAAGTATTTCAGTTATAATTAGATCTATTAAAATAAAAACGTTTCGTCTTTGCCGGACCCCCTTCAATTTTAAAATTTTAAGCGATAAAAGCACAGGGCCGTATTGAGGAAAATTAAACCACGAATGATGATGGTTTTATTGTTATGTAATTAGTCAGGTCGCCTTGCTAAATTCTTTTCGTTAAAAAGTAAAAATTCTAGGACCGTAGTTAAAAATTTATAGTTGGTGGTGATCCCACAAAACATAGACGAAACGTGACATTGAAACACTGATGGCAGTGGTTCATTCAGTTAAAATGTTCCCTGAGTTTCTCCATTATTTCTGTAATTTCCTGTTCATTTACTTTGGCAGAGGTAGTAAGGGAAAAATCTGTTTCTAATTATTAAAAACTTCCAAAATTGCTGTTGTCTATTTCTACATATTTCAAGTTTATATGCATATAGGTGGTTAATAGCATAAATAATGTTTATTTTGTACTGGTGGGAGTGATTACAACTAAAGAGTGGGCTGAAGGGATCTAAAATTTAAGAAAGTGTGCTTACAAAATACGAAAATGATCAAAAGTACAAAAGTTATCTTAAAATAAGTAATGACATTGAAAAACTGAAATGGCAGTGGTTCATAAAAATGAAAAATCTGCAATGAGAATGTAATTTTTATCAATCTCTTTTCAATAGGATTAATTATAACTGAAATATTTCTAGATAAAAAAACGTCAATTTCTTTTTAATTTCATTTCCAAGTACCTTAATAATAGGTACTTTATTAGGCAATCTTGCTCCTATTTAACTGCCCATTCTCTTAAATTTTAGGAGATACCTATGGTGAACATTTGAATCAGCACATACATAATGTTATAGCTTATTATGCTACCTTTTCTTTTTTAGGCGAGTCTTCTTTTGATCAAATATCAAAGTTAATAGCACATCGATCAAAACATTGCGAAGAAACAACGTTTCAGTGTGATGTGTGCTCATACAAAACCAAGCTAAAACAGAACTACTTGAATCACTTAAAAACGCACGCCGTTGAAAAAAATCACAAATGCGAAATTTGTAACAAAGCTTTCAAATTTAAGCACAATCTGGACAGTCATTTACAATCCCATTTTACGGACAAACTGCTAACATGTGAATCATGCGGATTTCAAACAAAATTTTTGAGTCACATGATCGCCCATAAACGAATTCATGCAGGTAACTTAACTAATTTAATACTTATTCTTCATCATCATCATCATAAGGTCGTCAGTCCTAAGACTGGTTAGACACGTACCTCCACTCTTTCCTATCCTGAGCTAAACTTCGCATTTCCCTAAAACTAGAACAACCCACATCCTTAACTATTTGCGAACAGTAATCTAATCTAGNATACAAAATGCAAATACTTTTTTGATTTGTTATTTCGAATGTAAAATACAAAATAGATTTCCCTTTTTTATTTTAAGTGCTAAATGCAAAATACGTATTTTCAAATAAAAACTCTTTTGTAGTAGATGCCTATGTAATTTTTTACATTTCGTATAAATTTTATTTAAGAAAACCTTCCAGGCATTATATATTAGAGTTTTTCTAGACAGTGGTGTTTGCACTATATCACCAGCTGTGTGAGAAGTGATTGAGATATAGTTTTTCTATCTTTGTGTTATAGATTCTTCAGTTCAGTAACAAATAATTCTTCTATGCGCTTCCTTATTTACCTTTGTCACCTGTTTTATTGGAAAAAAGACGCTGATGCCAAAATAGTTTGTTTAGCGTGAACGATCAGAACCAAAATAGGGTTCCAAATAATTTTATTGATGTAAAGTCAACATCAATAATTTAAATCAAAATATTTATAATCCCATTCTGTTTCCGATCTTTTACACATTGTAATAAGAGAAAAAAATGGAATCCATAATTTCTTTAGCTTTGGATTCAACTAATAAGTGAAGTTTTTCGAATTGTTTTCTGAAAATTTTGGATTATACGCATTTATTAGCGCATCACAATAAATATATATTCTTTTGCGGGCTGTTTTGCCGAAATTCGAAGAGTTTCGTAGTTCCTTGCTAAAGGTATGATAAGTGGTGATTTGGCAGGTGTTCATATTAATTTGGAATTTCAAAATTCAATGGACCATGACATTGAACCCGGAAATCAATATCGATCCAATATTTTAGATTATCCATTTCTAAAGAAAGAATTCATTTAAAGAATTTTCTCTCTTTCCCTTTTTAAGCTTCTAATACCTTCACTGGCCAATGTGAGAAACTTTCATTCATCATTTTATATAATGTTTGATCGGTGATACTAGTAATTTACAAATGGAAAATACGTTTGGAAAAGTATTTTAAATAAAATACCAAATGCGTTTCTCAAAAAAGTATTTAAATACAAGATAAAAATAAGTAACTGCATGTACAGTGTAAACTCTTTATAACGTCACTCGATTTAAGACAAACTCATTAAAACGTCCAAATTGCTTGACTTTGGTTGGTTTACATTGTTTTCTGTACAATATTACACTCTATATAGCGTCACGTTCACTCTATTTAACGACAACAATGCGACATTATAGATCATTAAGCAGTACTTTCTAAGTTGCCGAAATAGATAAGAACTGCAGCTGTGTATGTTGTTAAAGAAGACGATCCTGTCCCTCCACCAAGCATCAAACAAGCACTTGATGCAGCGAAACTATTAAAAAAAAATACTTTTTATGTAATCAAATTGATCCAGCAGTATCTCAAGATATGAGTAAGATACGTAACCAAATACATTAAAATATTGGAGCAGCAAAAAACATCAGACGAAGATAACAGACTATACGCAATATATGAATAATAATGTTCGTGTGCAAAATGTGTACTATATTGGTAAATGCATGTTATTATAGAATACTAAAATAATATCTTTTATATCTCTCCATTTAACGACCACTCTTTATAACGCCGTAAAATGTTCAGTCCCTTAAGTGTCGTTATATAGAGTTTACACTGTATTTCAAATAAATCACATCTCTGGATTTGGATTATTTTGAGTATGGGATATACTGTCTAATTAAATCTGATTCTTCAGATTTTGTGGAAAATCATTTTCATTTTCGGACACTTCAATATTCTCATTGTCGAAACTAGCATGAACAAAATGGAACTTTTGTCGACTATCATGCTGTTACCCCATAAAGTACATCTCACACCACCATGGGCTATCGCTTCAGTTGCTTCGAAATTTCGCCCAACCACAATTGCTTACCATTCTACTGTCAAAAATTACTTTAGAACTTTACGATAACATTACCCATGAAAATTTAACGATCATAAATTTGTATAACTGGAAATCTACAAATAATTTCCCAACAAAATGTTTTATGTACATATGTATGTGTTTCAGCGAATACAAATAGTACATCAACCCTGAACACTAATTATCCTCATTTCTCAGACCCCACCGACTATCACCACCACACGCACACACACAATATACAACACCAAATTCTCTCTTCGAGTCATAACCAAAGGGTGGCGCAGCACCAAAATAACTCTGTTAATCATCACATGTTGCCGCGACCTAATCATCCAACTGCCACTTCGACCGCGGCAGCCGTCGCTGCAGCGATGATGCTTGATCCTAGATTTCATCATAACTCGGGGGTGAGTTGTTGTAAAATTGATGTCTGTGTCGCTTTTTTTGTTAATTTATTATTTATTTTATTTGCGATCGTCATCAAAAGGTCTTCAGCCCAAAATATATGAAATCCTATGACATTGTTAGTTGTTAGTTACTTAATGGTGGATTAATATGCAATATTAATTTGAAATCATTTTTTCGATTTTTTATTTACCCACTACAAACTACCTCAAATTAAAGGAGGGAAAAATTGTTGCTGTTGTCACACCCCCGCCGCAAGCTTTTTCTAGATTTATTCGTAAAACTAAAATGATCTTCACTGTTTGTGAAATTTCACCTAAAAGTTCTTTCACCATTTTTATTCTTTTCTGTACGATTCTAATTAAAATTTTTGACGCATGAGAAATTAAACTAATTGTTCTAAAATTCTGGCATCTATGCAATGGCGAATAGTATACTTTCTCCAATATCATTGGCAATATCATTTTGAATTCCTTATTACCTACTAATACTAACTTTTTTAAATGATACGTCATGATATACGACTTTTGTTTCGAGTTATTTGAATTACCCTCAATATTTTCCTACAACTAAATTGTAATTTGCCTTAATTAAGTTACTATTTACATTTACTAATTTATCATGAATACTTTGTTCATAATAATCAATAATGTTTCTGAAGAATATTTAAAAATGTTTTAAAATGTGTATTGGTGGATGGTAGCTAGCGGTTTTCAAGTTTGCGATCATATTTTCGATTATATTTCCCTTTTCATCTTGAGGAAGTTACAGAATGAAAAAGTGTTTCACATTGCCTTTACCCGGAGGATTATAAACTGAACGTGTTAGTAACCATATACCTAAAAAGAGAGGCGCGGATAGGTGCGAGACATTTAGAACAATTAGCTTACAGCCCATTTCAATTTGTTAGAATTGTGACCTTGAAGAAATCTGCGCGAAGATAGAAAGAACACACACCAGGTGTGAGCAAGACAGAAATAGTTGGAACAAGCTTGAACGAGCAGAGCTCTCGATGGGCGGTCTTAGGAGATCGGCTAGAAGTGTACAGTACTAGACGAAAATGTTTAGCAATTTCTTAAAATAAAAATGTATATAAATTAACAATAGAAAACAAAGCAAAAGTTTTATAGGTGTGTAGAGCTTTAAGTTAATTCACTTGTTATTATTTTTGGCTAAATACGCTTTTAAATAAAGCATAGTCGAGGCAGTTTAAATAATTTTGCAAATGGTACTGTACATTTTTGTCTAGTTCTCGCTCGATGATCGGTGGGGAAATGAGCTCCGCAGACAAATATGATTGAATTTGGAATTATGCTACGGCGCATCCTAATAAAGGGAAAGGGCATATCTCCAACTTCTTGAAACGAACAGTAACTTACTATGCGTCAAAAATCTTAACTAAAATCCTACAGAGAAGGATGGAAAAAAAGGGCGGTAGAACTATTAGGAGAAGATCAATTTGGGTTTAGAAGAAATAGAGGAACGCGGGAGATCATTCTAGCTTTACGGGTAAAATTAGAGAAAATGATAGAGAATTTTTTTTTTTTATGTTTTCGTGGAAGAGGGGAAATCTTCAGAAGACACCCAGCCGTCCGTACGACTGGGTAGTGTCGGATTCCCGAGGAAGAAGTCCTCGGACCTACCGGATAGAGAAAGGAACGAGCACGTACATAGGATTTGTAGATTTAGAAAAAGTTTTTTGACAATGTTAAATGGGGTTACATGTTAAATATATCTACTTAAAAATGTAGGGATGATGACGATACCGTGGATAGAGAAGGTGAGAAATAAAGAGATATTAGAAAGAATAGGAGAACAGAGGACTCTATGGAAGTCAATAAGAAATAGACGAGATAAGTTAGTAGGACACCTTCTTAGGTATGAAGGTTTAGTTAAAGGCATATTAGAGGTAGAAATAGGAGTTAAGGGGAGTAGGGGTAAACCTAGATTAGATTACTATTCGCAAATAGTTAAGGATGTGGAATATTCTGGCTATAGGGAAATGCGAAGATTAGCTCAGGATAGGAAGGAGTGGAGGTGCGTGTCCAACCAGTGTTAGGACTGACGACCCTATGATAATGATTAACTTTACCTCTTTAAATAAAATATAAAAATTACTGATAAATTATTTCTGTCTGCCTAGAATTACTTTATGCCACCCACCAAATAAGAGAATATTTTTTCAGGTTCCCTATCCAACTTCAACCCCTGCGTCAATGGCTATGGCGGCCGCTGTTCAAAGCACGCAGCAAATTCAAGCGGCTTCTGGCCAACATTCGGAATATGCTCCTACGATTCAAAACTGCATGGCACTATTTTAATTTATTTCTTGAGGTGTTCGTAGTTTGTTGTTTTAACAACGGAGTACAGTCTCTATCTTGCAGCTTTAATATAATAGATACTTAATAATGAAACTGTATGCGTTATATTGATCTAATTTCTAAGGAACTAATACAAAAAAAGTTCGTAAACAATTTTTGATTTTATTTTACGTTCATTAATATAAATGTTGAATGTAATTCTTTTTAATGGTTATTAAAATGTGTGAAAATGAATTTTGTGACTTTCAATAAAACTATGAACACATTTAATAAATACTTGCGAAGTTCTAGTACCCATATATTTTCTGTTTCACTTTTTATCCGACTTAAGTACATATTGATTAATTAAAAATTAGAATTTACGATAATCCAACTATAAGATTCTTATGTTGTTGTTGTTACAAGCTGAAAAATTTAAAAATTGACGCAATTGTGGCAGTTGGACTTGCAAAGCACGTGATAACAATAATTAACAATTTTGAAATTCTAGAAATTTCTTCATACAATGTATGTAGTTTCAAAAAAGACTAGAGATAGGAATAAAAACTACATACATGAATTACTTACCTAATGTACTGTAAGAGCGTCATTTCGTCAAAAGTTATTAAAAAAGTCGTAAGAATAATACATTTCATTAAATTGAAAATAGTTTTCAAAAATAACCTTTAACATTTCTTAGAAATTTTCTGTAACAAATGACAGTAATGTAAATATTTCGAAAAAACAAATTAAAATGTATGAAATGTAAGTAAGAATAATACATTCCATTAAATTGAAAATAATTTTCAAATTAACCTTTAACATTTCTTAGAAAGTTTCTGTAATAAATGACAGTAATGTAAATATTTCGAAAAAACAAATTAAAATTCGATTATTTAAACTATTTAACAATATGCAGTAGAGTAATTTGGCTCATAGTCAAGTGGATTTTTACAATTGAAAAATTTGTAATTTGGAAATATTATATTTCCTATTTCGGGAAGGTTAATTAATTGGGTTTTTGTTGATTTTGATAGGTGCCTCATTTGCTCGTTTATGTACTAAATATATTAATTAGTCTTTGCACGCACAAGAAGTAAAACGTCTTCAGGATGAATTGTAGAAGAGTAACTTAACCTACAAAATTTGACAGACAATACATACACATCGTTCTAAAAACATCGTTCTCAAGAACATATATGTTCCATCAGTACAAGGATAAACATTTTCCAATTGAAGACACTTGCTGTAATTGAATAAGTAATTGATTTTCATTGTATATTTATATTGTAATGCCCTTTATTAGCAGTCGCCCCTTTTTAAATCTGTAAAGTTGGTAAAAGTGCAAAGGTGAAAGTACAAATATTGCATTTAAGTTCGGGTTTGTTTCCCAAGGAGCATCGTCATTCCAGTTTTTACCGAACTTTAAGTTAACCTCATAAATGTAAAGTAGGTACTGAGCTGTCACTTACAGCAGCGTAAATGTCTGCAGCCAATGCAAGTGAAGGCTTGGCTTGTGGATTTTTCTTTAACATGGCTTCGCCTCCATAGATTGATTTAAAAAAGCCACGTTGCTCCCCGTGCAGTTGTAGGTATTTGTATATCCGTTGTGTTACTGTCGTGCTATTTGCTTTTTTTACTGGATATACCTGTAACGGTTTAAGACTCACAGTTGATCACTTCATTGTAAAGTACTGACCCTTACAATATCTTACCCTGCTTTCACACAGACGGTTTTTTGCCGTGGCCGTGCACGGCAACCGTGCCGTGTATAATAGTAATACATTGGTTTATATGCAAGCGTTCACACAGCACGGTTTGCTGCCGTAGCCGTGCACGGCTGCCGTCGCAGCACGGCATGGGGACTGCAACGGCACGGCGCCGTGGCCGTGCACGGCAACAGTGAGACAAGCAAGTGTATAGAAGTATTCACACGTGCCGTGTGTTCACACGGCAAAAATTGTTTTCAGGATCGTTTTTCTCTCTGAATTGTGCAGTTAACAGAAGAAATTATATAGTGTGGCGGATAATAACACCGCTATATTTAATTTAAAACATATATTTGACTAAACATTATATTACACCCTTTTGTAAATATTTCTACTCGAATTCTTTTGTATCTGTCTTTCTATTATTATTATTATTCTCTGTGAAAATATTTGGAACAGTGTCTTTATCAAGGTAAAAATCTTACTCCAAGCATCGGTAGAGATTATATAATTAAGAAAAATTTACCTCCTTTCTTAATAATATATCATTGGGGAAGATAATACAAAGGATATATTGAATATGAGCATTTAAATTTTCTCGGATATTTTTGAAGAAACAAGGTTTTGTACAGATATATATTACAATCTTCTTTTATCTCTTATAAGCTAGACAGTGAAAACTTTAATAATTTGATTTCTTTTGGTATCAAAGCGTTACATAACAGAAAGGAAAACCTTTTTCTATTTCTGATAGATTGTTTTCTGATTGATACTCAATTTTTTTTTATTTCCCTCTTGATATTAAATAAAGCGTAATCATTGTCAATTAATTTTGATGACTATTACTAATTTTTAAATCATCTTGCAATTTTACGCATAATTCATCGAAACTCCTAATGGACATTCGAAAATAATTAAAAAATTTGGAGCTATCCTCTCGTAGCTCATGAAATAATGTTACAAATTCACCCATCAATTGTCTGTTTTCAAGTAGTGGATGAATCCAAAATCTTCTTGTTTTTTGTGTTTTTCTGCGATTATGCCATATCATTAGTAACAACATGCGTTTTTTTCTTTCGTCCATTTTGGTCATGTATCAAAACAAAACTAAACCGTGAAAAACCGTGTGCAGTGTGAACGCAAAGCAAAATGAAATTACGGCACGGCACGGCACGGTTGCCGTTAGAAAACCGTCTGTGTGAAAGCAGGGTTATTGTAAATTTCGTACGCCAAGGAATGTGATGGCCTCTCCTGTGGATGTTCTTGTAGATATTTTAGGATTTGCTCTTTATTTTCGCTTGGTAATAAATTTGCCTAAAAAGTAAATTCATTGTAATTGTATATTGAACATCAACAGAAATGATGTACTTACCAATTCTTTTTAGTTTTTCAAAAATTAGAATCTAAAATAAAAAAGTAAAATTTAGTAAAAACAAAAACCGTGTAAAACAACAAAAATAAATTTAAAAAATGTCAAATTAAAAAATGTTCTAGGCGTCTAGATTACGTTAGCAGTAGTCCTAGATGGCAGTATTGTAACTACCGGGTACAAAGCTACAAAGTACGTCTTACTAATTGGAATCTGAATGTACCGGGTACTCGACAGAATTAAAACGGACAACTTTAGTTAGTTTAATATAAATCCATTCCATAATCGCATAATTTTAACAAGCCATATAATTTCAACAGATATATATTTAATTAAGCTTGACAATTGTTTCGGCTAGGCAGCCACTATCAAGAGTACAACCGCTAGACCCAGGTCATCCCATCCTGGCTACAAAAATATACTTAACGCTTTGTTCTTTTAAATGCTTCAGTCTGCTCCAAGTTTGTTTCTCTTTTTCTTTTTCTTGATGGTCCAGAAACAGAAAATAATTCTGGATTTTCTTTTTACAGTATAGTAAGGTAACTGAAATATTCTACTCTTAATGATTTTACGATTGGACTACTCCTTAGCGTATATCTGTAATGTTTCAAAAAAACTTCTATTTAATCCCATAAATGTAAAGTACTGAGCTATCACTTACAGTTTAATATGAAATATTATTCTGAAAATTCATTTCTGAATTTTTACCCACTACACACTACCTCAAATTAATGAGGGAAAAATTCTTGCTGTTGTCACACCCCCGCCCGGAATCGAACCCGGGGGACCTTTGGCTTTACGCAACAATGCTCGTACCAACTACCGTCCTCGTCTACCCAGCAGACGTTGCCGCCACCCCGTCAGCGGAGACGTCGGGTCTAACTCTTTTTCTTGTAAAACGATGTTCTGCATTCGACTAAAGAGGACCTTAATTGGTCCTAGAACGGTCTGAGGTAGAGGGGTTTTAATCGGCTTACAAAAGTATCAGTTGTTAATTACTTTTATTATTATTGTTTATTTTATTAAACTGTTTATCAGAAAAAGAAGACTAGTTTATTTCATTTATATGTTTTCTAAGTATTTCTTTCTTCAATAATTTTTTTTTTTTGAATTATAGTTATCTATAGTATAATTTTAAGTTCGTTAGGTAGTTAATATTGTTTTCTAACTTCAGTTTATTTTGCATTCATCGTGTAACTCTAATTTAATTATTTGTTATTTTGATGGTCAACAGAGCGGAAAACGCAATAAGATAATAAGATTAATCATCATCATCATCATCATAAGGTCGTCAGTCGTAAGCCTGGTTGGACACGTACCTCCACTCTTTCCTATCCCGAGCTAAACTTCGCATTTCCCTAAAACTAGAACAACCCACATCCTTAACTATTTGCGAACAGTAATCTAATCTAGGTCTACCTCTACCCCCCTTAACTCCTGTTTCTGCCTCTAATATGTCTCTGATTACACCTTCATACCTGAGAAGGTGTCCTACCAACCTATCTCGCCTATTTTTTATTGACTTCCATAGAGTCCTCTGTTCTCCTATTCTTTCCAATACCTCTTCATTTCTAACCTTTTCTACCCACGATATCCTCATCATCCGCCTATAACACCACATTTCGAACGCTTCTAACCTTTTCTTTTCCGCCGCTCCCACTGTCCATGTTTCGCACCCGTACAACGCCGTGCTCCAAACATACACCTTTAACAACCTTTTTCGAATTTCTAAATTAACCGTTCGCGAGCATAGAAGTGACTTCTTTTTATTAAAGGCGACACGACCCTGCGCTATCCTCTGCTTTATTTCCCTATTACTCCTTCCGTCCTGACTTATCTGACTTCCTAGATACCAAAAATAAGCCACTTCTTCTAATTTTTCGTCTCCTATCTTTATATTCGCTCTTTCCCTATTTTTTCTTCCCTTGCATATCACTATTTTAGATTAATAACGGCAGGTAATGATAAATGAAGTTTAACCCCCGATAAATATTAATAAGCCACCCGGTTAACAGAAATCAACAATAATTTTATTATTAGTTAATTTAAAGGCTGTCTAAATTTGAACTGTGTTTTTTTGTTTTTATCTGTATATATTTCCATTGTTACATATCGCAGAATCTTTCCGGTTTGTTTACGTAATTTTTTATGAGAATCTTTCTGCAAATTGGCATGCTATGACCATTTACGGTTGAAGGTGAAATCGTTCATTACGAGATCATCACGTTAGAAATTACACAACGTCCCACTGTTAAGATGTTAAGATAACTGCTGGTAGTCTGGTATATAATTTTTTTTTGCTCATTAAGGAAAATTGCATTCCATATATTACATACTGTCTTTGAAATAATTATTTATTTATTTACATCTCAAGGCTCAACATTAACCAAAGCAATTTCAGGCTTTTTATTTATTTAACGTACATATCTAATACGAGTGTTAAGGCGCGTTTAGACTAAGCAAACAAATGCTGCTTCATTCCCTATTTTTATAGAATTTAAAGTGTTTGGTTGAATTTTATATCATATCATATAATCATCGTATATAGTAATGGACGAATGTTTTATATTACTCTAGATCTAGAGTATAAAAAAATAAAATTTGCAGTCCTATTTCGAAAACTGATACAATGTGAATTGCATCTATTGCAAAAGTTTTTCAAAAACAATAAATGATCGATGAGTGAAGGAAAACACAAGGGTAGTAATATGGGGTATTTTTCAATTTTTTTTCATGTTATAGGGGTGGCTCCCAATTGAACTTAGGACTAGGTACGACGAAAAGTGTGAAGAATGTGAATTGAATCTAAAATGGAAATGCAATTAAAATCATTAGCATTTGTTAATTTTATGGTTGCTTGAATTTCATGTGAAGTAGTGGACAGTGTTGTAATTATGAAGAAATAAAATCATTTAATTTTATTTATGGCATAGTCACTGTCAGTACGGACTCGTCCACCGAGGGCTCCGTTTTTTTTAAGTGTCTCCCCAAAATCAGCCCCCAAAACGTATAATTACAATATGACAATAATAAAAATATATTTTTGTGATGTAACTATAAATTTACAGTTTTTGGATTTTTCCATTTACTTGTGCTATATAGCATTTCTTCTTCACAAATTTCATGATTCGATGTCAATGGGAACTACCCTGTAGGTTTTGATTCCTTAGGGAGTGTCAAAAAATGCGACATAAACACCGTAACTTTTGATTGCGTTTTCATGGGATTGCAGACCTGATTATTTGATTATTAATTTCAACTTAATATCTTCACGTCTTCTTAAGAAAAAGGGTCTTGACACATAGACAAAAAGACTAACATAAGGGTTCTTTTTCTCCTTTTTGGGCACGGAACCTTAAAAGAAATTCGCATCTAAAACAAGAATGTAAACTTTTGTAGAGTTTTGCTAGCTACATAAAATTATAATCGTCATTGCAGATCATTCATTAAGCAACTAAAGAAAGCTCAAGGTAGAGCTGGTATGAAAATATTTTATGGGCGATAAATTATTTACCCACTAAGGTAAAATAAACATTCTCAAAAGGTCGGTTTTGTTGTATTTTATAATAGTGTATCGTCTGCTACATGCTTATATTCCTAGATCTCAATGATGCATTACCATAACGAGAAATATTTGCAAAACTAAATATTTCTACTTATGGGTAAGGAACTAAAAGAGAAGAAGCTAAAATAAATACAAATTGTAATGGAAGTAAATGATCAAAGAATAAATAATTAAATAATAATATAATGTAATAAAGTTCCCTTATAACTAGTTCTCATAGGATTACACAATTCGCTCGTTATATGCGAATACTCGTTATACACAATAATGGAAACCTTTAAGGTTAATATGAACAGGATTATTGAAGTTTAGTGACATATTACAAGTTTCAGAAAATTTTTAATTTTGAAATTAATGTGTTCTACTTAATCAATAATTTTTGTTGTAGCTTGAAATTGACGGTCGATAAAGAATTGCTGTGATAAGCTTTCGTTGGTTTATTGGCAAAATTGAATTCCTATTTATAAATTTGAATCTTTTCCCAAAGAAATTAAATTTTAATCAATGATAAAATTAAAAATCCCTTTTATACATAATTTAATTAAAATGCTGATATTACGATATAAGGTAGTGACATGTACTTTGATGCAAAAAATACTTTGAATCGATTAGCCCAGTAAAATTAGGCAAAATGCATAATTTATTATTTGATAACTGATAGCCGTATAGAAAAATTAGTGTATGAAGTGATAAAATATCAAAGTATTGTAATACATTAAATTTTGGGATGGCAGGTATTGTTTAAATAAAGAATGAAGGTGAAAATTCATATAAATATCGTATTTTTTTTAATTACTTTGTAAATAGGTATATAAAAATTGTGTTGATTATATAGACGCTTCAAAGGGTAGTGGATTAATCTGTTTAAATAATAAAAAAAAGCACCGGAAATTTTCAAGAATTTTTTGTTTATTGAAAAAAATATATATGCGTATAACTCTTAAAGAGATATCTTTTATTGCCCCAGTTTTCCATAAATTTTTTATCGAACAGTACTTCTTTATGAGATATTCTATTTGTTTATAAAAACGTGTTATAATGCTAATTGAATTCTCATCCTATTCTCGTTATTGTATAAGTAGGTACACTTTGACCTCAGAAATATATTGGCCAGAAATTGTTTATTTCAATTAATAATGAAAAGACAGAAAGGATAACAGAGCACATTTGGAGACAACAACAGGAGTACAGAGGGGCAGAGGAAGATTAGATTATTTCTTGAAAATTGTTAAAAATGTGAGTTCTTGTTTTAGACAAATGTGAAGATTAGCTGAAGATATGGAGTGCTGATATGTTTGTCTTGTCTACCTAATCTTCAGACAGACTGCAGGGACGTACGTACCGATGGTTTCTAACTCATGAACTGGCTCACCCTCAATATTCGTTTAGACCAACCTTTACTGTAGAATTAAGATACAATGGCAATCGATTTAATATCAATTAAAGAGAAACTGAAAATCTTAAAATTCTATTGCAAAC